AACTCTTAGAAAAAAACATAGGCAAAAATCTCTTGGACATAAACATGAGTGACTTCTTCATGAACATACCTCCCCAGGCAAGGGAAACAAAAGCAAAAATGAACAGGTGGGACTATATCAAACTGAAAAGCTTCTGTACAGCAAAGGACATCATCAATAGAACAAAAAGACATCCTACACTACGGGAGAATATATTCATAAATGACAGATCCAACAAAGGGTTGACATCCAAAATATATAAAGAGCTCATGCACCTCAACAAACAAAAAGCAAATAATCCAATTAAAAAATGGTCAGAGGAGCTGAACAGACAGTTCTCCAAAGAAGAAATTCAGATGGCCAACAGACACATGAAAAAATGCTCCGCATCACTAGTCATCAGAGAAATGCAAATTAAAACCACAATGAGATATCACCTCACACCAGTAAGGATCACCACCATCCAAAAGACAAACAACAACAAATGTTGGCGAGGTTGTGGAGAAAGGGCAACCCTCCTACACTGCTGGTGGGAATGGAAATTAGTTCGACGATTGTGGAAAGCAGTATGGAGGTTCCTCAAAATGCTTAAAATAGAAATACCATTTGACCCAGGAATTCCACTCCTAGGAATTTACCCTAAGAATGCAGCCCAGTTTGAAAAAGACAGATGCATCCCTATGTTTATCGCAGCACTGTTTTACAGTAGCCAAGAAATGGATGCAACCTAAGTGTCTATCAGTAGATGAATGGATAAAGAAGATGTGGTACATATACACAATGGAATATTATTCAGCCATAAGAAGAAAACAAATCTTATCATTTGCAACAACATGGATGGAGCTAGAGGGTATTATGCTCAGTGAAATAAGTAGGCGGAGAAAGACAAGTATCAAATGATTTCACTCATACGTGGAGTATAAGAACAAAGAAAAAAACTGAAGAAACAAAACAGCAGCAGACTCACAGAACCCAAGAATGGACTAACAATTACCAAAGGGAAAGGGACTGGGGAGGATGGGTGGGAAGGGAGGGACAAGGGGGGAAAGGGGGCATTATGATTAGCACACATAATGTAGGGGGTGCACAGGGAGGGCTGTACAACACAGAGAAGACACGTAGTGATTCTATAGCATCTTACTATGCTGATGGACAGTGACTGCAATGGAGTATGTGGGGGGGACTTGGTGATGGGGGAAGTCTAGTGAACATAATGTTGCTCATGTAATTGTAGTTTAATGATACCAAAATAAAAAATAATAATATAGTGAACCAAGGGCTCTCAAGAATCCAAACAGTATCTGAAACAGAAGAAAATCCATACCTTGAACATAGGAGGAAACTTGGGGATTACTCTCAAAAGCCAATGAGGAGGGAAGACACCTTTTTGGACAGTAGGAATTCCCTAACTACAGACACTTGGGACCATTTGGAAAGCTAAATTAAGTGGGAGGCAGTAAGCCACTGACAGTCACTTTTCTCTGAAGACCCAGAAGGATCACTCTCTCCTCAAAGCTGCCTGTTCTCTCATCCTGCTTGCACTGTGCATCCCCACTATTTATTCTAATGACTCAGTTTCACTCCCCTGACTCTGATAATGACTGAACATGACTCCCGGGGTTACGCAGAGCAAAGCACCTTCATATACTCTGAATTTCATTGACTGTTAAGATGCAGTTTGCCTACTGTGTGTCCTCATCCCTAAA